TGAGGTGAATTTTTAAATAGGACCCAGTGTTCACAAGAACTTAATGTAGATTTTAAACTGTGACTAATTTTCAGCAAGCACTAGGACGATTCTTTCACAAGTAATGCCTGTCTGAACACTCTCTAGGAAAACACAAGGCTCATCTAAGAGTGCGTATTTATAAAAGCACCAACATCTTGTGATACAAATGATAATTTTCTTGAGTGAATATATTATTTTAAAGTGTAAATATTTATTCTGTTGCTTGTCACCATGCTAGATTTCATAACTTAATGATTTGGGGGGGGGTAAACTTTTGATATTATCAAAAAATTCTTTTCTTCTCACATTCTTGGATAAATATACTGTAGTAACTGATACAACATTGAACTAAAGGAATTAATTCCTGGAAGTATTTAAAAACTGTGGTACAATCAAGAATTGACAGGATTTGATTTGCATATTATTTAATCTCTGGAGGTAATAAGCAAGAAGAGGTAGGTACAGATTTTAAGGTAGATGGTTGAACTTACCTACGCAGACGGTTCCATCATTTGTGATAAACTTGTCTTGTTTACTGCTGGATCTGAAACCGGGTGCACACATACAATAGTAACTTCCCTCCGTGTTAGTGCAGTTGGCATTTTCACCACAGGACTGGGTCAAGTTTCCACACTCATTATCATCTGTGGACACACCAATTTACAACATTATTTTTATATAATTGAGATGAATTCCTAATGTTTTCCATCAATATTTGGTAACTTTGCCTGTTAAATAATTTGATGTAATGTGATGCTTAGTTCTAAGAAAAATTAATGCTAAAGAATCCACATTCCTTACTTGTTTTATTCTTATTTAAATGTGAAATCTTTGTTGTTGCAAAGAAAAACAGAATCTCCTATTCAAAAACACTAAACATAGCTATTGCATCTATATTATTTTTCAAATTTCACATATAATTTAATTATTATAATGTCAATGAATATATACTCATTTGTGAACCTACAATACTATTTATAATAAGTCAAAAGTATATCGTAAGTTAAAAATGAAACATCAGAGATTACAAATTGATGTGCTCTAATCACGTCCCGTTTATTTTAATCACTTATTCTCCAGAAGAATATTGTGTTACTAGGTCTGCATCCCTTTATTTATTCTTTAATGGATTTATTCATTACCATAGGCATCGCATTGCTCTGTGAAAAAGTACTCAAATATAAAAAATTAGATCATGATCAATGGTCCTTACCCTTATACTCACGATATAATTTATTAGAAAAGATATAGGTTCAAAAATCTTTTTTTAAAAAAATCAGAAAGCAGATTTATATTATCTGTCAAATAAATGAAATGGAAAATAAGTGTTTCTCAGAAGTGATCGTGATAGGCTGGAGGAGACATTAGATCCTGTTGTAGGCTGAACTGTGTCTCCCAAAAAGGTACATTCAAGTCCTAATACTCAATGTCTGTGAATGTGAACTTATTGGAAAATAGAACCTTTGCAGATACAGCCCAGTTGAGATGAGGTCATACAGAATTAGGTGGGCCCCATGATGGATGTCCTTATAATATGAAATTCAGACATAGAGCCACAGAGGAGAAGGCTATGTGGAGAGAGAGGCAGAAACTGAAGTGATGCAGCTGTGAGTCAAGGAAAGCCAAGGACAGCTAACACCCACTAGAAGCCAGAAAGACAGAGGCAAAGATTCTTCCCTAGATCCTTCAGAGGGAGAATGGGCCCTCCAACACCTGGATTTCAGAGTTTTCGCCTCCAAAACTGTGAGAGAATAAATCTGTGTTGTTTCGAGCCCCCGAGTTAGTGCTAGTATTTTAGGACAGCCTTAAGAAACCAACAGACCCAAACTGGCTAATCTAGGACAGACACCATTGACTAGACATAGAGAAGGAAAGTCGCTAAAAGGAAGGCAAAAATACTGGCACACATGCAAGCATGGGGTTGTGGAGACATTTCTGAAGGTTGTTAGGCAGTTAGATAAGTGGGTGCACTGGGCAGATAGTTGGAGGAGAGGGAGGATGGTCTAGAAGACGGTGTTATGCCCGCCTCCACC